AATTAGAACTATCTCTGCATTACTTTCTTTAATACCAGTTTACATTTATATAAAGCTTTATATTTTTCAATTCAGATTTGTTGAAATAATAGATTTATGGACCACAGTGTACCGTACTGTTCTTTCAAAGATGAGATAAGGTAGTCCCTGATCTCCCAAAGTGTTTTTGGGGTCAGATTTATCGAGGTATAATTCACATACAATACCTTTCACTCTTTTTAGGTGTATAGTTCGGTGGTTTTTTAACAAACACATGCCCGTGTAACTACCACCACGTCCAAGACAGGGAACATTCTCTTCACCCTGGGAAGCGCCTTCCTGCCCCAGGGTAGTCAGGGGCAGCCTTCTCCCCAGCCCGCCTCCTCTCCACCACTGCCTGATCTTTGTCTCTATAATTTCACCTTTTCCAGAATGTCTTATAGCAGAATCGTACAGAGTCTGGCTGGCTTCTTCCAGTGAGCATAAGGCTTCTGAGCCTGACCCGAGTGGCTGCGTGTGTCGGGAGTGGCTGAGCAGCGTTCTGTTGTGTGGATGTGCCACGTTGCTTCCTCTCTTCACCGGCTGATGGACATGGCTTGTTTCCAGATTTTGATGATTATGAATGAAATGATTTACTTTCGTGTGTAGGTCTTTGTGTAGGGGGATGTTTTCATTTCGTCTGAGTGAATAACCAGGAGTGGGATTGCTGGGCCACCAAGCATCCGAAAAGCTGAGGCCTGGTGTGACGTGCCGCAGTCCATGGGCTCAGACTTGATTCCACATCCTTTAAATCCAAGTCACCTGCTGACTGCTAGACTGTATATTGTTTTCAGTGATGGTATTTCCCTGTTTTAACAACAGTGCTGACAAAAATCTCTCAGATTTTGCAGCAGTTAAAGAATGGAAATATTTATCAGTAACTAAAAATCAGAATACAAATACAGTTTTTCCTCAAGATGTTAGTTTCTGTCTCTGGTCTGGAAATTTGAAAGTTTGTAAAATTTATTTTGACTCTTACAATCTAGGCTTAGTCTTAGATGAATAATAGCCCCCCCCCGATTTATTTTGTGTAGAGAAGTAAGATCGCACCAGGACCATAGTCATATAGAGAGTAAGACTTTTGATTAAAGTTGAATGAAAATTATATAAAATCTATCTTCTGGTGTAAAAAAATTTGAAAATCTGTTATTTTCAAGATTTTCACTAATACAAATATAGTAAAATACATTTTAAATGATAAGACTCTTCCCACAAGTTTTCATCCTGCCAGGTTTTCATTTCCTACAAGCTTTCTAAGCAGATTGTCAAGGTATCCCTGAGCACTCGTGCTGGTCAACGCAGGATAGCCCGAATGTACAAGTTTCTGTTTTCCATTTAGTGTAGTTTTAATTTTTCCTGTCATAGATTTGCTGAGCGGTGTGACGACCACGCTGTAAGAACGTCTAGCGTGGTCTTCGCCCGGGAGTGGGTGTCTCGGTCCGTGTTCCTCTGGCTCTAACCCACAGAAGCGGTGGGGGCAGGAACAGCCTTGAGTCAGAAGACCTGACGCTGGAGCCCAGTTGAGTGACCGCTGACGAATCGCTGACCTGCTCCTTCCAGCCTGTCCTCTGTACCAGGAGCAACGCTCGCACTATTCCCTGAGACTTGCAGACTAGGGAGGCAGATGACATGGTCATTAACTGGCTGAAGCGAAGGAAGAATTAGGATTAAATTCCGACTCACTGGTTTGGCAGCTCGTAGCCCGTGATACTTACTTTACCTTTGCAAACAGTGGTTAAACTTGGGCCATAGCACTTGTGGTTGTGTTGAGGTGCTGAGAGTGAAAGACATAATGATGCCTTTGGTGAACAGCCTGAACGAGTAGCTCTGTTTAATTATGGGCTCTGTCTCTCTAAGAAAGTAATAACTATGATTATTGACATGCTAACCTAATAAGAAATAAGCTTTATATTCCTCATTTCGGTGTTTAAAAAGCAGGAATGTCTATCCAAAACTGGGGTCAAATCTCAGGCACTTACTAATTGAGTGTGTATGAACTTCCTAACCTTATATGAAAATGAATATAAACAATGCCTTGATAAAGGCTTTATGAGCTTCAAGATAATGCATATAAAACACTTACCATGGTGCCTGTTAGTATTAAATAAAACCCGCTTAGGACCTTGCGGGGAGGTGGCGGCAGGGAGTAAGTGGAAGCCCTGGGTTGATCTTTCTTCTGCGCTCTGCGAGCTTTGTGTTTGGCTGTGACCACACGCTCTTCTGACTGAGCAGTCCTCAAGGTGAGTCGTGGGGAGGCTGGTGCAATGAATAGCCCGTCCACACCAGAATCCCATGTCTCAGCACAACCTTTCCAGATAAGAAGGGAGACTTTGAAGTAATAGTAAAATGGAAGGTGGTAATGGTGATGAAGAATGGAAACACGGAGAAGGTGTGAAGGAGATGAAGAACTGAAAACCTGCTTCTGAATTTTGGTGCACAGGACGTTCTGTTACACAGCTGTTAAGTTATGTTGGCAGATGTTCACAACGGGGCAATGCTTGCTTTTTAAGTCAGGAGGGCATGCGGTCATTCTGTTAGGAATGCACAGGAACATACCAAGCAGGCGGAGTTGGGGTGTTTTCTCCTTTTACTCCAGTCGATGTTCTTCAAAGTCTTTTATAATTAAAAAAAAAGCTTTAAAAAATTTAAAGCGTCCCTTTTATCTTGACTGTAGCCTCTTTAGCAAAGCCATTCTAGTTATAGAAGATTCATTTTATCCTTATAACTATAACAACTAAAGTAAAGGTTTCTTTTTAAGTGTCTTGAAGAAAAGATTCTACTTAATTTAAATGGAGTGATTTTTTTATGTTCTTCTGTGATCCTCGATTCTTCACAATTACATTTTTTTCTGTTGCATTTCCTGTACTTGAGTTCAAATCACCTTGAAATGTTTTTTTACATTTAGAAACAATCATCCCAACCACAGGATGCTTGCTGTCAAAAAAATTAAAGTATACATTTCCAGATGTGTTTATGACCAAACATTATTCAGTAATGTGATTCTGAAAGACATATAAAGGGAATAGAAAAGAATGGATTGCTTGGTGAGCTACACATGGTTGTTATAATTTATAATTATTTACACATAGAAATTCATTGTTTCCTAGAAACAAAGCAAATCCTTTCCACACATTTTTGTTCTCTAGATTTGCAGTGAGCTTTTTGAGATCCTAAATGCCATCTCTTAACTTTGCCTGTGTATTATTTTTCTCCTGAAAAGTGAGAAGTTTAACGTGTAATGCTGACGGAAAGGTTGGTTTGAGGATCTCATTTGCATTATTTTCCAGTGTCCTGGAAAGAATGCTAGCATGAATTTTGAAGAATGCAAGTAATTTGATACATTTTGAGACTTAATTACTCAGTAAAATTTCATAGTTTATGAGATCAAATTTGTTTGATTGAGACAAAAATTTTTCCATCTATTCTGTAGTAGTAAGATGAAAAGAAAATATTAGGTAGCATATTGTTCGTTGGCATTCAACCAGTTTTAGCAGTAGTTTTTACCAGTAAAGTCTTTGCCCTGGATTTTTGTCTAATAGTATAGTAATAAAGCCCGTCTTTAAGTCGCTTCTCCCTGTCTCTGCTGGCTGCAGCTGCTCGCTTTGTATTCCATCAGTAAATTAAAAATCATTAATTTTTGTTACTGAGTGCACTCTTCTGTCACACTGGCATGTAAAAGTGCAGCTCAGGCATCTGTTAAGAGGGTGTGAAATATATTTAATCTTGAGGGCTGGATGATCCAGGCAACTTCAAGCAACTTTTAATAGCCTTAGTGTTAACCTTCCGTTAGTCAGCAGTAACATGATGTCATCATCCGCCCTTTCATTCCAGTTTAAAGCACTGCACAAAGACCTGACAGTAAAAGGCATAATGAACACTTTAAAGATGGAAGCCATTAAACTGACATGCATTTATTTAGCATAATATACAGTAATTTATTTAACAAGCTACCATTTGAAAGGTGTGATAGGAAAAAGGAGAGACATATTCTTTGACTAAATGTGTTACTTTCCTAATTTGTTTCTCCTGAGCTACGTGGATAATGTAAATACACACAACCAGGATAGCAAAAGGATATTTTCTTTGGGTAATGTAATTAAAATTTGCTTCTGTGGGTCGGCAGTTTGGGCCTGTATCCTCTGGGTGGGTTTTCTGGGCTCATTCCTGCGTCTGTTGTCAGCTGCTGGTTGGCTGGAGGCTGGCCTGGGATGGCTTCAGATGGACCAACTTGTCTCCGTGGCCTTCTCCTAGGCTTCACATGACAGCTGGCCAAAGTTCTAGGAGAAAGAGTGGAAACTAGACCTCTTGAAGCCCAGACTCAGAACTGACACAAAATCACTTCCACCAAATTCTGTTAATCAAAGCAGGTTTCAAGATCACTTCTATTCAAGGGGTCTGGAAATAGACCCTACTCTTGATCAGAGGAGCTGCAAAGTTACATTGCAAAGAGGGCGACATGTGGAGGGGAGTATTTGCCACCTTCTTTATAAATAGGCTGCCACACCAAGACACTGTTCTAATGTACTGTAAATCAATAAGAAGAGTTTTTGAAAGGTGCTTTATTCACACTTTACATATTGAGAAACCACAGCTCCCACACTACAAGTTGGTTGGCTGTGCATTGAGATTAATTTGGACAGTGAATGTAAAAGCTGGAAAGTAGGTTTTGTTCTTGTGCTGAGTTATTTTTTGAGGTAGTAGAGGGGTCAAGTTATGGGTTATAAAGTAAATGTTTTTATTTTGTTTCAAAATAAGAGAAAAGTATCCAAAATACATTCCCTGAAAGTGTCCAAAAGAAAATACAAATTTTTTTGACATTGTTGATATTTATGTTTCTGCAAATAGTCAGTGATGAATTAAAAATTGTGCCAAGAGTAAATTAGTATGAATGCAAATATTATGGAGGTTTTTACTGCAAAAATGTAACAATTTTTAATACAGTTATTTGGAATTTTAAGTTTGAACTTCTGTCTCATTTCTAGGAGCTCTGCCAGTGCCGACCTGGAGAAGGAAATTGTTCCTGCTGTAAGGAGTGTATGCTGTGTCTTGGGACCCTTTGGGATGAGTGCTGTGATTGCGTCGGTAAGTTGACGTATGATAAAGTTTTCTAATATTTCTTATCACGGAACCCTTGACTTTAAAGAGACTGTAAAGAATATAAATGTGTTTATCTGTGTCTAAGATAGAGTAGGTGTATAGATTACATTTGCTTGTACTGAATACTGTTTACATATGTATATATATTTTTTATTTCTATAGAAAAGTTCTGGGAGGAAATTAAAAGTGCTTATTCTTGGGAAGTAGGAGTGGAGGAACATGCAGAGGGCTTTACTCTTTATATTTAATTTTTCTATCCTGCTGATTGTTTTCCTTTTCCAGTTTTATTAAGTAGAATCACTAGTGTGCCTGTGCAGATACATTATATCACATGTAAATACGTGTGTACAATAGGCTGTGCACAGTTTTTTCAGTTTGCATGTGTGTGCTGATCATTGTTTCTAAGAACAGATTAATGCGGTAATCCAGTCATAAGGGACTCATAAAAAAGTTCCTGTTTTATTCACAGGGTGGTAATCCCAGTACTGTCGTTTATTTTAGTGTTAAAGTCATCAGTTTGGCCAGTGGGAGCCCCTTCGGGTTGCTCCTGTGTCTTTTCAACATGTCCTCTCGCTCACTGATCACTTCCTTCCTTTCTGGTACAGATAAGTGTTCTGGGGTCATTTTGTGCTTTCCCTGTCCCAGCCCTGGAGTCAGTCTTTTCTCCGAGGAGCTCTGTTCCTCTTAGCCAAGGATAGGCATTTGGAAAACAAAGCCTGGGCACTCGGTGTGCTTGATGCTGCACAGTGTCACCAACTGCAAGTCCTCTCAGCGAAAAAGCTAGGAAGGTATCTGTGTAATGTTAGAAGGCACCTGGTTTTATATGTGTATATATATTTTTTATTGAAGTGTAGTCAGTTTACAATGTTGTGTCGATTTCTGGTGTACATCATGTTTGAGAAGGCACCTGATTTTCATGTGTTGGGGCTTGGGTTGCAGGCCAGCCCCTAACAACATCTCATGACATTTAAGTCGTGAGAAAAACCTTGATTGTCTTTGCCCCTCCCCCGCAGGTATGTGTAATCCTCGAAATTACAGTGACACACCTCCGACTTCAAAGAGCACTGTGGAGGAGCTTCACGAGCCAATCCCTTCTCTCTTCCGGGCGCTCACGGAAGGAGACACTCAGCTGAACTGGAACATCGTCTCCTTCCCTGTTGCAGAAGAACTTTCACATCATGAGAATCTGGTTTCCTTTTTAGAAACTGTGAACCAGCCACACCATCAAAATGTGTCTGTTCCCAGCAATAATGTCCACGCACCTTATTCTAGTGACAAAGGTAACTGCGGCAGCTGACTTTTCCTCTCTTGCCCCCTTGCTTTCTGCATGGCCTGTGAAGCGTGCATTAGCATTACCTTTTAGAGCAGCTTCTGTGGTCTTAGGTAAGTTCTAGACTTTCATGCACCCAACTCCTGAGTAGACGAGGAGTTGTCCCAGTGCCCTCAGACTCTTGGCGACAGAGGCTGTGTTGCAAAATAGACAACCAGGTTCTAATTCTGATATTTATTTGCATTAGGCTTTAATGATTCTTTTCATGAGGTAGCAGCAGGGCTGCTCACCTAGCGCAGTGTTGCTTGCTGTCAGGTAACATTCAGAGTGTCAGAGGAGGTCAGGTTTCTGTGACAGCATTGCTACCACCAGTGATGCCAGGCCAGCAGGTACTCCTCAGTGGGCGCGTTGGGGTTACAGACTCCTGATTTCGGGTAGTAGACTCGCCCCAGCCAGCTCTCTGTAGGTGAGTCCTGTGGTCAGAAGGGAGCCTCCGTGGAGAGTGGCGGGTGCTTCGTGCTTCTCCGAGTCGCAGTAAGGAACACTTACTAGTGAGGGCAGGTCACACCTTAACTCTGGAATGTGAAAGGCATGTAACTTTTGTAAGGTCTCTGATGTTTCCAAATAAAAGGCCCCGCACAATTTTACTCTGGAAGGATAAGGCAGCTGTGAAAATTGCAGTTATTTCCTAACATATGAGGTGAATTATGCATAAACTGTATAATTTGTATTCTTTTTGATCTGGCTTTTTTGTCGTGCTCTCCATTACAGTCCTGTCTATCTAAAATAGTATGAGCTTTGGCCATCAGTAGTAAAAGCAAACAGCTTTTGTTAATAAAGAGTAAGAATTCTTAATTCCTCTTAGGCTAAAGTACTTTATAAGACAAATTCTAGATCTTGGAAAACATCAGAAATGTATGGAATGTGTCTTGCTACCATTTTCCCATTATTAACATGTAAATAATCAACATCATATTAAATAATTGATAAATTTTTCTCAAAGATTATTCAAAGTCATGAATTAATAAGCAGGAAGCTAATTCCTGAAAACACCAGCCGGGGCATTTTCTAACAGCTAATGCTGAATTGTGCTAGCATTGTTAACCACATTGTGTCATTTGAATTACTTAAGGTTATTTTATTTTGTTGTATTCTCAGGATAGCTTTAGAACAGTATTTTTCAAACTTCTTTTAGCTGGAGAATTCTCTCCTCAGAGGAATCTTATCAGAAATGCCCAGTTTGGAGCTCCAAGTACAGCAAATGTTGTTAAGCCCAGGGATCTCCTTTCAGATCAGAGTCTGAAATCTGATGAAATGACGAGGGAAGCCCTTTGTTCTGCAGCCGGAGTGGGGACTTGCTTCCTTCTCAGCGTGACTAACGACTGTGATCTTTTCCCCACGCCGCACTGGTGTCCTGTGCAGACGGGCAGCAAAGAGCTGAGACAAGTACCTGTTCATAGTATTCAGCGAGGTATTAAAGCACTTCCTGCTTTTCCTGCTTCCTGTGCTGAAGTCTTCATCGTTTATTTTTCAGAACACATGTGTACGGTGGTTTACTTTGACGACTGCATGTCCATACATCAGTGTAAAATATCCTGCGAGTCCATGGGGGCCTCCAAGTACCGCTGGTTCCACAACGCCTGCTGTGAGTGCGTTGGCCCGGAGTGCATCGACTACGGCAGTAAAACTGTCAAGTGTATGAACTGCATGTTTTAACGAAGGAAAGAAATGAGAACCAAAGCGATGTCATCAGAGGTATGAAAAGCTGCTCAGTGATGTCTCCTGCTTGCATCCAAATGCCCGCAGGTTGAGAAGATGTAAAGAATCCAGACTGAGTTACTTTTAAAGTATGACGGATGCAGGATTGTGCTACATGACGATCGTGACTGCTCTCACTGATATTTCTGCCCGCTGCTGGCGGTCAGCCCTTTCTTCTAAAAGCACGCACAGCATTGGTCACGGGACAAGTGAGTGCGCAGAGAGTGCCTTGAGGGTGTGGGGTTTCTAACCCCGAAGCCTGCTGTCCCTTCCTTATTGCACTCCAGAAGCCTCTGGGTTTGGAGGTTTAGAGCATGTTAACAGAGTTACTGCTTCTGCACGTTGTCCTGCTCCAAGGGCACTGCGTTTTTGCCGTCTTTTGCCATTCTTCACTATGCCTGGTATTGTTTCTCTGTAATATAAGTAGGGTAGCTATTCAGATATATCCCCATGAGAACGCACAAAAAGTTACCATGAAAAGCTTGATGTCAAACCTCTTTATGTTGGTTTTAGAAAGTAAACACTTTCTGTATTTTACAATTTAACTCTTACCTGGTGGAATTCATCCTGTACTACACATACTGACAGCTTTGGGGAGTTTCTCCTCGTCCTCCACCTCTGTCCAAAGTGCTGATCAAGGTAGTAATGAAGCGTCTTTACCAAGAATTTCAGGGCACACCTGTGAGACATGTGAAGTATGCTAGCCAGGGGCAGATAGGTAGGATGACTTAGGTACCAGCTGGAAGAGCGCCAGGAATGGGAAACACTGCCAGACAGGGCTCCACACACAGCGCCGGGGAAACAGTGCCCCTGTCATGGAAGTGGTGGAGCTGTGCTCGTGGACAGTGAGGGTGAGTCCACTCAGCCTCAGCGCACGGTGGTCGGAGGGGCAGAGCAGCGAGCTACGGGTCTGAACAGGGAGGGCTGAAAATGCCGGGGGTCCTAGCGGAAACAAACTTAGAACTATGTACGTTAATTATTTTGTTATTTTACAGTCTTTATGTTTATAATATCTAGATCAGATATTCTTGTTAAACAAGTATAATCACATAGTAAGAGCTTAAGATTATGAATCCAAAAAAGGTTTCTGTTCAAGATCATGTTCACTCTAAATACACTACCGGACATCTCGTCAGCTTTTAATACTGTTTCAGTGGAAATAAGATACTGTGTGCCCTTCATAGTAATAAAATCCTGATCTTCAAGCATGGACCTAAAACGTAAATGTTTATATGCAGAGACTCTTAACTTTACAAAATTACTAATTTCTCAAATAGTGCATATTTGAATTACAAGTAACTTTTTAGGAATACCTCTTTGTATATGTAAGTACGTTAGCATATACAGACAGATAATGCTCTTAGACACTTTGTAATCATTGTCTGAACAGTAGTTACAAGATCGTGTGTAATATTATGATTAACTGTCATAAAGTATAAAGACTTGATACCTTTTCTCTCTCAGATAACTCTAATGAACACTTAAGGTACTTTATTTAGCCTTTTAGAAAGTTGAAATTTAGCTCATGGATATATTTTTTTTATAGGAAAACATTGGGATATCCTTTTCTTACTTTTACCTAGAATGCCTCTGTTTATGAGTGCCTTGAAAACAAATTAACTCCCTTTCTTCATTATTACCTATAAAGCTAAGGATTTTCTAGAACTTAAGAGAAAGTTTTAAAGGAGTCTGCAGCCAGCTGCTTCATTTCCACTTTGCTGTTTTCCAGAGTCATTCATACCTATGAATGGAAGAATGCTTTTATGTTTATTGACAACACGCTTAATGTTTCCATAAATATGTTAACAAACCTTTTTTTAGCTGCATTTATCATCTGTTTTAGGTCTTCATTATTAAATTTGAAAATGTAATATCTCTTATTGGGAGAATAATTACGTTTTCACTGATTTTTTTTTTTAACCTCTGTTTCTCCCAATAGAAATTAGCCCTAAATGTACTGGTAAGTTTTGTATTCAAATTTTACTTAATTTTTCTGGCTTATGAAGGGGTTAAAAGAAAGAGTTCACCTAAAAGATTCCATTTCCAGTTCTATAATATATTTTAGGTTTTGAATCACAATATTTTTCCAAATTAAAAGTATAACATTTGGGAAGCTGATAGCCCCGCTACAGTTTAGTCCTTCTGTTACCATTCTAAGCAAAATTCACTTCTATATTAAAGCTGTGCTTTAAAAAAAATTACATAAAAAATTAGGTTGTTATCTTTTTTATAACTAGATCAAAAGATACTAAATCTCACATCAGTATGTATTATAATAAGCCGTACACAAAGGGTTCTTTCCTCTAGTAGGACATGTTCTTGCTTGGTGGTTTTTCGTCCCTCAACCCCATAACATCTAATTATTACTGAAACTGTACTTGGTGGCACCAAATCAAATGATGATTCAGACACAGCAAGTCTTTGTTTACATAGATGCTATAAAACAGATACCTTCATTTAGAAATATGATTTCTAAAGTGTCAGAAAACAAAACAGATAAAATATTAGAATATTTTAATAATTATTTATAAATCAAAGTAGCATCAAAACAGAGAAAAGAAACTAAGACTTCTGAAAAATGAGATAAATATAAATAAGCCACATATTTAAAGTTTGTTATCATGAAAGCTTCTTGGAAGAGTTTTAGAATCTCTTATGCATTCCCAAGAGTTTTATGTTTGTTGTATTTTACACGCTCCTACAACATACAAAATTATGTATTTTTCTTTGGTTGTCCCTATAAACAAAAAATATTTTAATAAAAAATCAAGATGAGAGCGTCATGTTTTTTGTTAATTTCAAGCATAGGAAAATGAAATAAGCTTGCCATTTCTGTCTGGTGAAGTTATAGTTGAAGGTGTCAGCCAAGTGTGTCCCCTTCTCTCTGGAAGTCCCTGCACACTCTGTTGAAACAAGGAGTCTTTAACAGTCTGCTTTCTCATGTGCTTTATTCCAATATGGGGAGGCTTTGAGATGAAATACATTCTCCTTGCCCTGTGTGCCCAACCAGCCTCCCAGGAACCTCCTGATGGTTGGAAGGAGTTACCGACAGATGAAGGTAGGAAGATGACTGCCAGCTCTCCCGCAGCGACGCTCACAGGCTGCTGTTGGAATTGAGACCCGTAGGCTATACGCTCTTCGTGAAGTCAGTGTTATTTCACAGAATCTGTGTTTTGACTGCTTAGTGGAGAGGGGGGTGGGGAGGAGTCAAGAGGACAGGTCGCAGCCGGAGGGACTTCGGGGATGGTGGACTTGAGGTGCTGAATTGGTTTCAAGAAAGAGAGTACATTTGGTTAGGCGAGCTGTTCTGTGGCTGACGGCGTCCGATGGCAGGCAGTGGTGTGGAGCTGAGAGGCAGAGAGGGCCGGGGCTGGGAGGGAGTACCTCTCAGCTCGAGGAATCAGCAGGGACCTGACGGCGGGCAGGCTGGTGCTGGTGTGCCATCCCCTCCGCACGCCGTGCATCTTAGGTTCACGAAGCCCGTGGGTGTTAGTCGTTTGAGGTGTTTCCTAGCCAGTGAAAAATAAATTCACTTTACATCCTTTTCTTTTGAAGCCTGTGCTGGAAGGATGGAGTCAGCAACAAGTCCAAGGTCTGACTTCTGAGATGAAGATTCTCAGTGCAGAGCAGAGAGGAAGGCGATCTCTTCCCTCCTCCACGGTCCGCGACTCCCAGAACGAAGCCTGGAAAGTGCACTTGATGGAGGGCGGCCACTGAAGTTAGACACGGAAGCCACTGTGGTATCTCTACGGCAAAGGGATTCTGTTTCCTGCTCTCCTCACTCCTGCTTCACGCTGAAGCCAGAGTAAGCCTCCTAAAATTGCTGCCTGACCTCCGGCCCAGTCCCGGGCAAGTAGCAAGGGCTTTGTGCTCCTTTGTCTTTGAGGGCTGAGTCCCCCAGAAGAAGCAGGAGCCAGGCAGACAGCCTGCTTTGGTTTTCTGGACTTCCTCACCTGCCCCTGGGGGTTCAGCTGGGGGCAGGGGAGAGAAGAGAAGGCCTCTGGGCCTGCAGTTCCTTCCTTCTAGTGGTTTCCACTTGTGAGCGTTAACAGCCTAGCCCTTACCCAGGGCCCCCCTCCCCCATCTCTACGGCTCAGTGAGGCCCAGGACGGTGACAGAGCCTCTTGGATAGACGATGAATGAGATGGGGCTCAGAGTCAGGCTTGACTTGACTTATAGAAAGTAAGGAGACAAGACACCTGGGTTTATGGCATCTTTGCTCCCAGCCTCTCACTGGCAGCCTCGCTACTCACAGCCCCTCTCCTCTCCACTCTGGGTGCCGGCCGCCCCTCACTCCAGGCCTCCCCGCGTCCCAGGGTGACAGGACTTGTTGTCTCTGCTGCTTCTGTTCTTTGTGACCATTTTGATTCCTGTTCTCACTCAGGTCTCAGCTCAAATACCACCCCCACCACCCCTTCTGCAGCAGCAGCCCCTAGTGGGCCCCCATCCCCTTATTCTGTGTCATTTTTAATAGCCCCCCCCACCGGCAAAATGTCTGTCTATTACAAAGGATGCTTAGGGATACAAGTAAACTGCCAGGTAGAGATCACAGGGCAAGGGCCAGAGGTCTGGAGCGCAGGGGCTTCTCCCCAGTAGAGTTTGGGGAGCACCAGGCTCCTGGCACCCAGTTGCCTTCTTGTTCTCAACTTGGAAGCTCTCTGAACCCTGTCCTTTGGGGGTTTAATGGAGTCTTTACCACATAGGCATGGTTGCTTAAATCATTGACCACTGATTATGGAATCCAATCTCTAGTCCCTCTCCTCTCTCTAGAGGTTGTGGGGTGGGGCTGAAAGTTTTAGCACAAGGTTGAAAATCTAATCACAATGTTGGTTCCCCTGGCAAATAGGCCCCATCCTTAGGTGCCTTCCAAAAGTCATCCTATTATCATAAACTGGTTGAAAGGGGCCTTTTTGTTTGTTTGTTTTCATATTCTTTTTCACCATAAGTTACTACAAGACATCAAATATAGTTCCCTGTGCTCTACAGTATGAACTTGTTTATCCGTTTTGTATTTATCAGTTAGTACCTGCAAATCTCTAACTTCCAACTTATCCTCTCCTACCCACTTCCCACCTGGTAACAAGTTTGTTCTCTATGTCTGAGAGTCTGTTTCTGTTTTGCAAGTAAGTTTGTTTTTCTTTTTCTTTAGATTCCACATATAAGTAATATCATACGGTATTTTTCCTTCTCTTTCTGGCTTATTTCACTTAGAATGACAATCTCCAGGTCCATCCATGTTGCTGCAAATGGCATTATTTTATTCTTTTTTAGGGATGAGTAGTATTCCATTGTGTAAATATACCACAAGTTCTTTATCCAGTCATCTGTCCATGGACGTTTAGGTTGTTTCCATGTCTTGGCTAATGTAAATAGTGCTGCTGTGAATGTTGGGGTGCATGTATCTTTTTGAATTGAGGTTCCCTCTGGATATATGCCCAGGAATGAGATTGCTGGATCATATGGTAAGTTTATTTTTAGTTTTTTGAAGCATCTCCATACTGTTTTCCATAATGGCTGTACCAAACTACATTCCCACCAGCAGTTTTGGAGGGTTCCCTTTTCTCCACACCCTCTCCAGCATTTATTGCTTGTGGACTTTTTAACGATGGACATTCTGACTGGTGTGAGGTGATACATCATTGTAGTTTTGATTTGTATTTCTCTGATAATTAGTGATACAGAGCATTTTTTCATATGACTATTGGCCATCAGTATGTCTTCACTGGAGAATTGCTTGTTTAGGTCTTCTGGCCATCTTTGGATTGGGTTTTTTGTTTTTTTCTTATTAAGTTGTATGAGCTGTTTGTATATTCTTGAAATTAAGCCCTTGTCAGTCTCATCTTTTGCAAATATTGTCTCCCATTCCATAGGTTATCTTTTTGTCTTGCTAATGGTTTCCTTTGCTGTGCAAAAGCTGTTAAGCTTAATCAGGTCCCATTTGTTTATTTTTGCTTTTATTTCCATTGCCTGGGTAGACTGCCCTAGGAGAACATGGCAGAGAATTATGTCGGAGAATGTTTTGCCTGTGTTTTTGTCTAAGAGGTTTACAGTGTCTTATGCTTAGGGCTTTAGGCCATTTTGAGTTTATTTTGTGTGTGGAGTGAGGGAGCGTTCTGCCTTCGCTGATCCACACGCAGCGTTCCGGCTTCCCCAGCACCACTGGCTGAAGAGGAAGGAGGCTTGTTATGCAGACACCTTTGTCACTCTGGAAGTTCCGAGGATTTTAAGACCAAATATGTATTTCTTATTATAAATCACAATATCACAACCCTGCTTTGGATGTTGTCATGCAAACTACATCTTTATACTTTGCATGCCTATCAACACAGATTTATAATTATTCCTTTATGCAGTTGTCTTTTAAATCAGGATATTAGGAAAACGAATTATAAATGAAAAAATACATTTATGCTGTTTTTTATATTTACCTCTTTGGTTCCCTTTACTAATGTCCTTTATTTCTTCATGTGGATTCAAGTAACTGTCTAGTGTCCTTTCGGTTCAGCCTAAAGGACTCCCTTTATCAGATCAAGTTGCAAGTGGAACTCAGTTTAAACTAGCTCAAGCAAAGGGAAAAAAAGGGCCGGCCTGGGGACTCGCATACCTGAAGAGCTCGGGGTTAGGGCGTCGGGCCTGGGGACCCCTGGTCCCCCCTCAGCAGACTCACTCCTCCTGTTGCTCTTGACTGCCGGGTGCCCCAGAAAGTCCCAGGTCAGGCTCACACTGGTCCAGGGGAGTCCTCCCAAATCACATGGGCACAGCGGGGGAGTGGTGGGTCTCCAGAGAAATAGAGAGGAACCCACAAAGGGGACCTTGGGTGAAGCGCCAGTCCAAACCAAAGGTCTGCCCTGGGCCGGCTTGAGGACAAGTTCCAGCTTCCTTCAGTTGTTCCCCTGCCAACGTCACTTCTACACAAGGCCAACTCTCAAACTGGAAATCTGCAGGTTAGAACATGCAGATACCTGGAACTTTTCATTCTGTGTCTAGCAATTTCGTTCCTTGCCTGACAGGCTAAAAATTCTTACTAGTGTAATCTGAGATGTCAGTCAAGAAGTACTCCTCGAGCTAAAGTACGAAAGACCCTCCCTGAAAGCCCACTTGACTCCCAGCTATGGGATGTATTTTCTGAGGTTTAAAAAATGTGCCTTGAGTTGTAATAAAGGGGATTATGAATACTCATCAGCAGTGACTTGTTCCTCCGCTGCTGCATGTCCTGACTATTATTTTAGGCTTATTCATGACTCACAAAGGGGGAACACAGCAACGCTTTGTCACGATGTTTAATTTCCTGTATCCAGATAGATAGTAGATACTAAGTATGAGCGGCCAAAAACTTTAGGAGCTTTGTCAGATCCAGTACTTCAGCTCCGGGAACCCAGGCAAACAGGTTACTTACTTCTAAGCCCTCAGTGCCGTGCAGGCACCTGGGTTGAATGTTCCTTCCCTCGGGTTAGCCTTGATGTTTTATCACCTGCCCTCGGACATAGTCCAGGACCACGTTCTATATGTTTCCTAATGACTTTGAATTCGCCTCTTGTTTAAGTGGCTTTTCCCCCTGGATTGTCACTGAGATCTTCTTCCAGATACTGCTAATAAAGTTTAGGGTATAAATTGGGGCGTTGGTAATTAAACTTTTACAACTCAGGCCTGTCGGTGTTTGGGGAATAAAGCATGCATGGATAGCTAACCCTCACTGACAGCAGGTGGCGGTGTCTCAGGGGGTTTATTCTGGGGGACCTCTCAGCGTGTGTGTGCACGCGCGCTGGATGGTCCAGGAAGAGGACCGTGAGCAGGCGGTAGTGACACAAGTGGCCGTAGTAGCTAGAGCATTCCCATGCGTTTAGACGTTTTCATGTCTGGTTTGCTTGCGGTGGCCCATTTCCACATGCGTTTTACCCTTTTGGAGGGCAAGCTTGTGGCCATTCCCAGGACACCTCGGTTGCAGACAGAGACTTTCTGGGAAGATTTTTGTTTGCTTCTGGAGCTGCTCCAGGAGGCTGCCAACCCCAAAACCCTAGAGCTACGTATGGTATTCAACAAGTTGTTTAAAATAGTAAAAATTTATGTTCACCTTGTTTTATACACGTGAGATCTCTGGACGGGATTCACAAGGAACTGAGAACCTTGGCTGTCTCCAGGGTGGGACCCTCTCCTGCCTTGAATTGTGAGCCACCCACATGCATTACCTTTTCAAGAAATAAATGACTAAAATTCTTCAATTTTAAAAAGATACGAGCTTTTTAAAGAAAAAGTAAAGAAAGTATTTAGAGACACTTTTCCTTAAAAAACTCAGTTTGGTAGCATCTTCCCCCAAACACTGGATCCCTCTGGGTGACTAGCCGCCCAGTCTCTAAAACATGTAACACATGACAGGGGCCGAATTCTGTGTTACCAAGAGTCTGATCGTAACTGAAAATCCGCAAAGTGTTGATCTAGTCACATTGTTGATGGACAGTGATGTATATTCAGTTCTCACATTCTAATAGGTCCAAACAGGAGCTAAGATTTGAGCAATTAGATTTTGGGACAGATAGTCCTGTGGTTTGCGCTTCTACCTACCCTGAGATTTACTTCTTTGTCCTTCTAAAGGAGTTTAATAGCATAAAGTCAGGCCACAGAATTCATTTAAACAGCCACATTTCAACTTCCTTAAACTAATCAGAACCAATAAGAACACCAGCAAGAAAGTCCCACGTCAGTGATCTTTAAGAAGAACGTATCTGATCAAGTAAACTACAGACTCAGTTTTGTCGCTGGCATCATCGTCCGTGGAACTGCAGCCTTCATGGCTTTCGTCCGTCCCCAGTTCCTCCCACCCTGATAGCAAGGCCTGTACTACATTCTTGAGTTGGAACTCCCTTGCTTCTGCCAGTTTTATAAAAGCGCTCCATGCACTTGGCAGGACCAGGGCCCTGGGAGGGAGGAGAAAGCGCCAGCGTGTAACCATTCTAAGGGAATGTTGATTTGTTAAGGCAAACCTTGTCTCTCAGAGTGTTTACAGCTTTCCCTTTTGTGAGTTGTTCTGAATCTAATACCAGATTTCCTCCGAGGACCTTCTGACACAAGTATGACCCTCGGAACAAAGAGCTCATTCCAGGAGGGCCCCGAGCACAGACTCTTCAGTGATTCCTGAGCTGGGGCCGCTGCCAGGCAGGCTCCTGCTCTGGGCCCCAGAAACAAATATGACCCCTTGAAAGAACACGTTCTCTTTCTGATAGGAATCTTGAGTGAGTTCAAGAGGGCAGGTGTTCAGCAATTCTGGAGATGAAATTCAAACAGAAGATCCCCTGCCTCCCGTGTCACTGCCCAGAGGCGTGGGCCACTGGAAGGAGGGCCTGGCACCCATGCATGGATCACCCAACATCTGTGTCTCTGTGTCAGAGACGCACCTGTTCCTTTTCTCTCTTTGATCTCTAGAAAAATAGAGAAACAAACATCCACTGAAAGTAGGGGAAAGAAGAAAGCTATTATTCATTTAATGCTTGTTTTTTTCTGATAATGATGGATTATAATGGATTCACAATAGATGGGGGCATGATTCAATCATTTCTCAAATTCATAGATTTCTCCTGAGAAATGGGGGCTCTGAGCACAAAGGCCTCAGGCCTAGCAGTCAGGGCTTGGCGGGGGGGGGTGTCTTCTGGATACTTAAAAGGCAGACTCAAGGCAGAGCAAGGCAGTGGTGTAAATGAAACTTACAGTTTAAATGAAAATTACAGTAGTCATACTTGGCCTACATTTAGCCAACTGTAAAACAAAGCAAAACATCTTCCGAACATGAACAAAACCTGGTAAGAAAATTTTTAGTGGAGTTGTTGAAAATAGTTTCTAAATGTTAAGTACGTCTAGGGTCTGGCCTGAGATGGTTGAAGTATTTTGAAGATGGAGATGGTGATTCTAATGGAGATAGTAAGAATCATCTGGATACAGAATTCTATCAGTGAGTCTGTGCTTTGCCTTCTATGTACCTGTCCTTTCTGAGTTATCAGAATATGGTTCTTTTAGCTATGCGCCTTTGTTCTACAATTTTTTTAAATTCCAATTTTATTTCCAAGAAAGAAAATACCAACATTTCACAGTACAAACTTAAAAAGATTAAATATTCTGACTTTGTCATGTAATAAGATCAGAAATTATACCGTATAATTTTATTTTAAAGCACCTTTATGATGGTATGATTTCTGTATAGTAAACCATACGTATTTCAGATATACAATTTGATGAATTTTGATAGACGTAGACACCCATGAAACCACCACACAATCAAGATAGCTAACATTTCCTTCACTCCCCAAGAGGTACAAATTTCAAATTCCCAATTTATCCTTTCCCATCCCCTTTCCCCCTGGTGACCATAAGTTTGTTTTCTATGTCTGTGAGTCTATGTCTGTTTTGTAAATAAATTCGTTTGTGTCTTTTTTTTAGATTCCACGTATAAGTGATATGTGGTATTTTTCTTTCTTTCTGGCCTCACTTAGAATGATCTCCAGATCGATCCATGTTGCAGCAAATGACATTCATTTATTATTTTTATGGCTGAGTAGTATTCCATTGTATGTGTGTATATATACATATATTGTATATACATTGTATGTATACAAGTTGTATGTATACCGCAACTACTTCTTTATCCAATCATGTGTCAATGATTTAGGTTTTTTCCATGTCCTGGCTATTGGAAATAGTGCTGCTATGAACATTGGGGTGCATGCATAGTGATTCAAGTTTTTTTTTCATTTATTTATGTATTTATTTTACAATTTTTTTTAAATTGAAGTATAGTTTATGTACAATATTATGTTACAGGTATACAATATAGTAATTTTTAAAGGTTATACTCCATTTATGGTCATTACAAAATATTGGCTATATCCCCCATGTTGTACATACATCCTTGTAGCTTATTTTATACCTGATAGTTTGTACCTCTTAATCCTCCATCTCATCTTGCCCCTCCCCCTTCCCTCTGTGATTCAAGATTTTTACCCCGATATATAGCTATTCAGATTTTCTCCTTTTTTCTTGGGTTAGTTTTGGTAATTAGTTCTAAGAATGCCGCCATTTTCATCTACTTTTAAAATTATTAGAATTGAGAGAGTATTGGACGAAGGAATGGAAGTGATTGGGAAGGACTGTCCACCCCAATTTTATCATTCTCCTGATGTAAACTGCCAAACTTTATGAAAGAGCACCTAAAAAAACCCGTGACTTTCAGCCACGCATCAGAACTATTCTTTGAGCCTTTGGGAAGGATTCCTGGAGCAAATGAGGCTATTTCCAGTCTTCCTCTAGATCTCGCTAACGCGAGGCTGGGCAGCTCTGAGTCAGGAGCTCCTTCGGGGACGCTGAGGCAGAGGGCGGTGGAGGCCGGCGGCCCCGCTGAGCCCCAAGAATCCAGGGTGGCCCTTGTCAACGCCCGTTTCAGGAATTCTGAGGCTGGCCCCAACACGAAGTTCTACACAAGCTTCTCCTCCGAGGCCCACGGCGCTTCCCGTGTCCAAACCCCGAGCCAGTCTCCACCCCAGGCCCAAATTTCCCCACCCAGGCCGGCCGGGAGATGCCCCACCCAGCGGCAGGCCGGGCCGGCCTCCGGGCCGGTTTAACTGGTTAGGACTGAACCCGCCGGCGCAGAAGGTCTGTGCCTCGACAGCTAGAGAAGAGGCTGCGTAGAACGTGGCGAGGAAAGCGCTCGCCCCCAAGACCGCGACCAGCGCCGCCACAACCTTCTCCGCGACCTCGCCCGGGGTAGAGCCGCATCCCACCCCGTCGCCCACCACCCGGCACTGCGCAGGCGCCGGCGGAGCCCCAGCGCGGCCCGTCCTCTCGCGCGCTCTCCGACCTCCCGGGCAAGTTCCCGGGCAGGGTAGGCGCGGTGCTTCCTGGGTGTTGTAGTGCAATTCCCGACGAAGCGCCGCTTGCGGACCGGGCGCTGGGTTACCAGGACTACTTCTTCCAGCGTGCCCCGCGCGGGGTCAGCGCCGAGAGGCGGATCCGAGAAGCCGGCCGCGGCGAGAGGAGGGAGTGCGCATGCGCGCTGGGCCGGCTGATCCAGTTCCGTCCCAATCATTGTAAACAGGCGGAGGTTGGGGCGGGGTGGGAATGGGGCGCCCGAGGCCGGCCGGGGGTGCAGCGCAGGAGGCGGCTGCGGCGGCGGCGTGAGCGGAGGTGGCGGCGGCTGCGGCTGGGCGGGCACAGGTCAGTGGCGGGCCGGGGCGGGCAGGGGTCGCAGCGGCGCCGGCTTCCCGGCGTCTGTCAGGTCGGGCGGCGTGAGGGCCGGCGCTGGGGGCGCGGGGCAGACGCGGGTGGGGGCGTGGCCGCCCCGGTGCGGCGGGTCCCGGCGGCCGGGCCTCCCCGCGTGCGGTCGGGCCCCCGGGGGCGGGAGGAGGTCGGGCGCCGGCCCCCAGCGCGGGGCCCCGGGCCTCGGGGCAGCTCGCGGGCGCCCCGTGGTTCACGTCGCCGCGCCCGGGATGTTGCCTGCTCCCCGTGCGCGCCCGGTGGCCTGGGAGGCTCCGCGGAGCCGCGGGGAGAATTCCTTCCACAACTCCTTTTCGAGTACGCTGGTGCCCACATGCTCTAATTGAGGTCAGCTTGGTGGTTTTGTTTGTTTGTTTGTTGATTTATTGTCGTGATAGTGAAACAGGTTTTACAAAATAGTCCACCTCAGCCTTACCTGAAGTTGTTATGCGGTTTCAAGTTTGGGGGATTCTCGACCTCGGAGCCTCCCTCGTGAGCAAGCAGCCTGTTTCCTTTAGAGGCCTAGTAGAGTTGTTGAAGATAATTAAAATGTTACCTCGAGATGCTGTGAACGTGCAGGTGAAAGACGTTCAGTCGCTTGAACACACCGGTAGCCTCCCTAGGAGGCTTCCCCGAGCTTTTTTGTCGGGTGGGCATGTGCCACTGCCGGCACTTCGCGTTGCATTCCCTCATACTTGGCAGTTATTCACAGAATATTCAAATAGTGACAAGGAGCAGGGCCCCTTCTGGTTTGGTGATCCTGGAAGCAGCACTTCTAAGTGAGTAGATGGGCCTGTGAATGAGAAAGGTTAACTTCACTTTCTGCCTTTTGAATTGTCTGGGTGATGTGATAATTCCTTTCTGAGTGTCTTCTTGAGAATGAGTAATTCCTATACAAACTGTACTGGCAAGTGTAGAGGCGGGAAGAAGTTGGTGCAGGGGTTTCCACTTTTCACAGTGACCCATAGATGTCAGGGAGGTGGGCTTGTTTAACGGTCACTGTCAGGAACTAATTCTTCAAAGTATCTTGGAGCAATGTGACATAATTTACCATCTCTTCAAAACAGTATTTCTCATTTTAGATCTTCCAGGGACCATTTCTCCCCTAATTTAGAAAAAATAAAAGTGGTATCAGAAAGTGCATATTCACTTGACTTTGTACAATTGTTTTTGCATCGTTGTTTGCTTGGCAAGGAGAGATTGGGCCTACAACATAACCTAAAAGTTATACTCTTTCAGAAAACGTCTGGGAACTTATGTTCGTATATGGGGAGGGAATAAGGAAAAATGAGATGATTTAGTGTAGAGGAATTTCCATGTAGCAGGAACTGTGAAGACAACTTACAGATGGATAAGGCACTGCCCCTGTCTTTGGGGTGGTAAGACTTTCTCTCTTTCTTGAGCTGTCTGCAAGGAAGGGCAGTATGTTTTTCAGTTGGCTTTGACTTGAGAAAGGATGGGGGAGCAATGGCTGTACAAGGGAGGTAGTGGCCAGTTTCTTGAGGGAGAGACTGAGGAAGGGGGTGGTGGTAAGGATAAGTGTATACAGGAGAGTATGCAAACACAGAAAGGACCCGCGTCTAGATGGGAGAACAGTGCGAGCAGAAGTTCAGAGGCCGAACTAACAATGAGTTGTGGGATCTGCAGGTGAAGCTGGCAGAGAGTGTAGGGTGGTGGCAGGTCGTGCAACTGGGATGGAGGGCAGAGGCCGAATTGCGCATAGTCTTGCAGACAGGGGAAGTAGTTTCCGCTTGATCTGGAAAGCGAGCAGGAGTCATTGAGACAGTGAAGAAGAGAGGCCTAAGTCAGCCTAACCCATTAAAAAGTTTTTTTTTAACTGAGGTCTAGTTGATTTACAGTGGTGTGTTAATTTCAGGTGTACAGCAAAGGGATTCAGTTACACATATAATACACATATATTCTTTTTCATATTCTTTTTTGTTATTGGTTACTACAAGCTACTGAATATAGTTCCCTGTGCAATACTTGGTTGTAGGACCTTGCTGTTTATCTGTTCTGTCTATAGTAGTTTGTATCTGCTAATCCCAAACTCCCAATTTATATCTGTCTCCCCTCTGCTTCTCTGGCAACCATAAGTTTGTTTTCTGTGTCTGTGAGTGTGTTTCTGTTTTGTAAATGAGTACATTTGTGCCATTTTTTAAGATTCCACAGGTAAGTGATACCGTGTGGTGTCTGTCTGTCTCTGTCTGACTTCCTCAAGCCGTTTTACCTCCTTGTTTCGTGTGAAGCATTGTATTAGGTCCTTTATACTTCATGCCGTTAAACTTAAAGAAGGCTTAGGCTCAGCTGAGGCAGAAGTCACGGGGAAGGAAATTGAGGCCAAGGGAAAGCCGGGCCTGATGAGAGGGAGCGTGGGAGCCTTGTAAGACTGGAGCCTGTTCCCTGCAGCTGTCCCGTGGGGGTCGTGGTGCTGAGTACCAGAGGCGAGGCTGCACAGATTGATCCTCCGGGATCATGCACCGTTCGAAGGATTCTGGAGATTTTTTCCTACAGGTAATAGAGATTACGGGTTTTAATCAGGAGAGAGTCATGATAAGGTTTTCATTTTAGAAAGATCATTCTGGTATTGTAGAGTGTAGATTTCAGAAGGGATGCAGGGAAGATAAGACTGAATGCAGAAGGACTGTGAGGCACTTTTGTAATAATTGAGGTGACAAATAAGGGACTAAACTAAGGTGGGGTCAGTGGAGATACAGGACTAGGTTAATAGCACGAATATTTAGAAGGTAGAATTAATAGGATTCAGTGACAGTTGGATTTGGGGAGTGAGAGAGAAATAATAGAATAAGATGACTAAGATTTTAACTTGGGTGATTGAATAGATAGCAGTGAAGTATGATGAGGCAGGGAATTCAGGAAGAGGAGCACATTTGGGGAGGAGCAGTACTGTAGCTTTTGAATACACCGGGCTGTCATCATCTAGAGACATGCAGGTGGAGACGTCTGCTGCACGGTTGGGTATGTGGGTTTGGAGTGCAGGGGGGACGTCTTGATCCGACAGTCTTGGGGCTGTACTGCAGGTGGTGCCTAAAGCCTTGGATTTAGGGATGAGGACATAGGGATAGAGTGATGGAAGGTAGTTCTGGAAATAAGCCTGGAGAACAACAGCGTTTGAAGCCAGATGGAGGCAGAAGAACTGAAAAGGGAAATTCTGTGTGTTTAGAGACGTCAAGAAATCATATGAAATGGTAGGAACCCAAATGGGATCGTTTCAAAAGGAAGCTGTTCTTCAAAACTGACTCTTCAGAAAAAAGAAAAATGAAGGAAGCTATACTCCAAATACTTTGAGAACTTGAGTAAAACAACTTTTCCTAGGAGACTGTTGAATTTGATAACTCAGTGAGAGCCGTTTTGTAGCATTTAGTTATTGCTGCCATATGAGGAAGGAGCTCAGTTTGATTGACGTGAGTTAATGGGAGGTCAGTGTGGAGAAAGCACAGGTAGATTATTTCAAGAATGAGCACGTCTCAGCTGTGAAGGAGGAGCAGAGGAGGTGTTAGCAGAGGGTGACAAGCGTTAAGGGATTTTTTTTTAACCTGGCAAAGACTTGAGCCTGCTTTTTTCTCATAACAGCCTTATTGAGATATTCATGTATCATAAGTCGATCCTTTTAGAGTATACAATTCAGTGGTTTTTAGTACATTCAGAGTCATACAACCAGCTCTAGATGAATTTTAGAACATCTTCATTACCTCTTATTCATCATCAGCTACTCCCGTTCCCCCCACTCCCACCCGCTAGCAACCTCTCAGCTACTTTCCATCTCTGCCGATTTGCCCGTTCTGGACATTTCAGGGACGTGGAGTTGCATATGTGATCACTTGTGAATGACTTCCTGGACTTAGCCTGATGTTTTGGGGGTCTGTCCACATTGTGGCATGTATGGGGCTCCATTCCTTTTTATTGCTGAGTACTGTCCCCCTGTCTGGCTACACCACATTTTGTTTATCTGCATCGGTTGATGAACATTTAGGTTGTTTCTACTTTGTGGCTATTGTGAATAATGCTGGTGTGAATATTCATAGGCCAGCCTTTGTGCAGATACGTGTTTTCATTGTTCCTGGGTATTTACCTAGAGTCATATGGTGACTTTTATGTTGAACAATTTGAGGAGTTGCCCAGCTGTTTCCCAAAGCAGCTGTACTGTTTCACTCTCCAGGGTAAGGATTCTAATTTCTCCAAGTCTTTACCAACACTTGCTGTTTTCTGGTTTTTAAGATGTTAGCTGTGCTGCTGGGTGTGAGGTGGTGTCTCACTGTGGGTTTGATGTGCGTTTCTCTGGGGGCTGGTGATGCTGAACGTCTCACCTGGTGCTTGCTGGGCAGTTGTGTGCCTTCTTTGGAGAAATATCTGTTCAAGTCCTTTGCCTACTTTAAAATTGGGTTGTTGGTCTCTGTTGAGTTGTAAGAGTTCCTTTGTATATCCTGGGTGCTGGACCCTCACCAGTATATGTGATCTGCAAATGTTTTCTTCCGTTCTCTGGGCAGTCTTCTTATGTTCTTGATATAATGTCCTCTGATGTATAGAAGTTTTCAGTTTTGATGAACCAGTTTAGCCGGTTTTTTTCTTTTGTTACTCATGATTTTGGTGTCCTGTCTGAAAACCCATTGCCAAATCCGAGGGTGAAGATTTACACTGTGCTTTCTTCTAAGAGTTTTATGGTTTTAGTTCTTATGTTTAGGTGTTGATTCATTTTGAGTGAATTTTTGTGTTTGGTCTTAGTGAGATGGGGGTCCGTTTTCGTGTGTGTGGAAACCTAATAGTTCTGTCCTCATCTGTTGGAGAGATCATTCTTTCCCCATTGAGTAGTCTTGATGCCATGGTTGAAAATCAGTTGAGCGCGGCTGTTCGGGTGTATTTTCGGACTCTCCCGTCAGTTGCGTAAGTCTGTGTGCTTATCCTATGCCAGCGCCACATCGTTTCAGTTCCCTTCGTTCTGT